CATCGGCACGGCTCTGCCATGTCCCCAGGGCCACCCGCCGTCCCTTACCGTGGCCACGTAGGGGTAGACGTGCTCCGAGTTCAAGCCGCCGTTGTCACGCACGTACTGGAAGGCTCGGGTCATGTAGCCGCCGTGGCAGCCGTTGTTGCCCAGCTTTCGGGAGCAGTCGATGAGGTTCTGCTCGCTCAGCACCACCAGCTTCCCCGTCCGGTTGAAGACGAGCCCCTCCAAAGCCCCTGTGGCACTGAACGCCCAGCACGACCCGCAGTGCCCCTGGGCGAGAAGGGGACAGTGGGAGGGTCACAGCATTGCCCCAAAACCCACCGGAGATGGGTGCTGAGACCTCCCAGTGCTGCTCTCCAGCTCCTCAACTGCAAAACCACAGCAGCCAAAATTATGGGAGCTGCTTGTCTGGGTTGCCCAGAGGTTTTTTTGGCACTTGTGAGGTTGCTGCTGCCTGTTTCTGCTGCCCAGACTCCCAGCCCTGGACAAACCCTGCCTTGTGCCCACCTGGTTCTTCACAGGTGTCACGTAGCCCTTTGCCCTCCAGTCCACCTCAACAGGGGTCTTCAGGGCCACTGACGCCTGGAATAGCGGTGCTGGTTCCTCCTGCCACGCTGGGGTGAAGCCATTCAGGAGCTGGTTAAACTCCTCGTCTGTCTGCAGGTCACCAAGGGAAAACTCGTGTGATGCCGTGTGTGCCCAGCCAGCAGCACCACAGCTCCCCACCAGCTGCTTGACCCCTGGGAAGCAGCCCAGTCCTGGGGTGACCTGCAGCTCCCAGCAGAGTGGGTTGGGGGTAGCTGGTCCCCAAATCAAGCCCTGGGTGCACCAAGAGCTCCCTGGTCCCCAGATCAGGCTCTGGATGCACCCAGGGGTCCCTGGGGAAGGTGCTGGGCGCATCAGCAGGTACCAGGTCCCCGTAGTGGTTCATGGCCAGGCGGAAGGTGTGATGTCCCTGGGATTCTTCCTGGTTGTGCTGCTGGATGCGCTGCAGGTTCTTCTCCCAGACCTCCCTGCGGATGGCCTCAGCCTCCTGCCATGGCAGCGGGATCAGAAACGTCCCCAGGAGCACGGGGACACGGGATGGGGTGGGTGCATGTGGCTGAGACTCCCCTGGAGCCAGACCCAGCATGTGCCAGGAGGCCTGGGGGGAGCAGGACCTACCCCTGGGTACTCCTTGGCATGGAGGATCTTCCACCCTTCCCAGGTCTCTTCCAGGGCAGGATCCGGAGCTGTGGTGCAGCCCAGCAGGGCCAGCAACAGCCACAGCAGCACAGCCATGGCACCAGGCTGGGAGGGAACGGCAAGAGAGGGGTGAGGGGGGTCCCTGGGCTGAGCACCACGGCCGGGGCCATGGG